ATGGTTAAACGCCTTGCGTCAGAGAAAGGATATTTCAGGGAGGTTAGCGAGGCTCCCACAGTGTAACGACCAAGTGCTAACAATCGTATATTTGTTTTAACGGACAACTCGATATACAGCTGGGTCGGGAACGCAGTCAAGGGCTTTGCCGAGCACTCTAAACAGTAAGGAGCTTCTCTTCTCGCGGAAGTAGGTGGGATTGCTAGTGATTTGGAACAAGTAATGATCTTCGAAGGTGACAAGTACTTTCCCATACCTGCCTGTTTTCTGCGATGCGTGTGTGGCGTGGTGCATGAGGAACCTTTCGGAACATAGATGTTCCTCGGATCGCACGCGTCCTCGATACCCCACCAAACAATTCCTCAACTCGTAACTCCCTCGTCATTCTCCCTCACCTACGCCGCACCGCTGCATCGTCGGCCTTCCGTGTTACTCGATCTTCTGAGCAGTCCGAGCGAACTATCGAACCTACCACTCGCCGCGTCGTCACAAATCCAGTGCACTGTCGGTTCCCGCGGCCAGCAGCTAGTCCCGATCCTCTGCAGGTCGGGAGAATTCGACTCTACCACGTCGGAACACATCCGCGAACCGCGTGCGCGTCTGCCGCCTCAATTTCCCAATTCCGACGAGCGAGACCAGGTACGGCAACCCTTCCACTTAATTTTTTTTTTTCTTTCGCTCTGTTAAGGCGCCAGACCTAACCTGCCGCAGGAACCATCACCGAGCCGCATCCAAAAGATCGCTGCGGCCGAGATGGACGTTAGGTAAGCTTCTCCCCCGATCTGCCGACCCCGTTCTCGTGGGTCGCCCGGCGCTGACCATGAACCCGCGTGCAGATATACCGACCCTTCCTCCCAGCGCCGCGGCGGTGCACAACTTCAACCACCTATATCCGCCGTCGTGGAGACCACCACGTCTAGCACGCGCAGTTCTAAGCGGGCTGGCGAGAATCACAGTCAACACAACACGCCCAAGCGGCATAGGTCGGGCGTCCCTGAGCCCGGCCCGAATCCCACCCCACATACCCCATCGGACACGACTCGCTCGCCCGCCTCCGCGCTCCCTGGGTCTGCCTGCGCCCAGGTGCTAGTTTGTAAATCGACCCCTCGGTCCTACCCTCCCTCCCTCGACACCATCTTGGTCCGGGTATCTGCGTTCGACCCTCCCCGAGAGTGTCCGGTAGACGCCCTATCCGCCATCGTGCGCGGCCATGACATCACCCGCCCGCTCGACGATCCCGCGCGCTACCGTCTCGAAGGCCTCGTGGCCTGGTTCGGCCTCTCCGACCTACGGATCTAGTATGTCTCCCCGGCGGACGCCGACCGGCGCACCTCTTTTGCCCTCATCCCCGACGAGCGCGAATGGCGGCTGTTCCTTACTCAGCTCAAGACCTCGGGCGTCCCTCTCGACCCCAACCGCTACTACAACCCTACCTTGCCCGTGAGCATCCGTATCTGGGCGCTGCCTTCGGCTCAGACTCCCCAGGATGTTATCGCGCCGGTGTCACCTAGTGTAGAGGTCGTAGATCTCCTTACGGACGACGAACTTGACCCCTATCCACGTGATAGAGATGCTACGAACGTCCTTTCGTGTAGCGAGCCCGACCTCGTTGAGTCCGACGTCGTTGAGTCCGACGTCGTTGAGTCCGACGTCGTTGAGTCCGACGTCGTTGAGCCCGAGGACGGAGAGGCGTTTGAGCCAGGACCCATCGACCCCAGCATCGTTGAGGCGGTCCGCCGCGACATGTGCAAATTCTTCGGCATCGATCCCAGCGACGTCCTAAAGCCTGGCTTCACACATACCCCTCCGGGCATGAAGAAAGGCCTCCGGTTCCACCAGCTCTGGGCCTTTTTCTGGGTGTTCGCTAGCAAGGCGGCCCGTGGTATCGCCACTGCCCTCCTCGCTGACGAAATGGGACTCGGCAAGACGGTCATGTCCCTGGCCGTCGCCGTCCTTAGCCACCGCCTGCGCGCGCAGGCCGATCACGTCTCCCAGCACCCTGACCAGCACCTCGCAGCCGATGACGAGCGCACCAAGTGCCCGTCAGGAACCTACACTCACGGGTTCCAATGCCCCTGCGAGGCCGGCAGCTGGTCCGCCAGGATCGCTGCCGACCTCTCGCACGGACCTACAGTAGTGTTTGGTTCTAAGCTGATCCTGAGATCGTGGGCCTATGAGTTCTCCAAGTTCGTGGACGCCAGCCCCGACGACGGCATGATCCTCCTCACGCTGCCCGACGATCCCGCGCCTGTGCGCAGCCTCATCGCCGACATCGACATCGCCAAGCTACCCCGCGGGCCTCCCACGAGCAGCAAGAAGCCGGGCCTGCAAGACGAAGGCGCCAGGCTCAAACCCAAGCCCGGCCAGTCTCGGTACATCCTGCTGGTTCCCAACACGTCGGCCGTAAAGAGTATCGATTCGACCTTCGCCGTCCCCGCCGACCGCCGCCGGCCGCCCACTGTAGTCCAGTTCGCCGTCCAGCCAGGCAGGATCATCGTGGACGAGGCCCACTGCATCAAGGGCGAGACCACCATGCTCTGGGATCGCATCCGGCGTTGGCAGTGGCGCGCTCGGAGTCCCACTTACCTCCTTGCCCTGACGGGCACACCTATGACCCGGGACCCGGCGGACTTCGAGAGGCTGCTGGAGCACCTGAACCACCCAGGCGCCGGCTGGAGCAGCCCTCTCCGACCGCCCACCATGTCCACGCTTCAGGCGCTCAAGCGGCTGACCTCGCATTACAACAAGACGCTCGCCCGCGGCCTCGGCGCCGCCGCCGCCGGCTCGGAATCGGAATCAGATCAGCAGCAGCAGCAGGTCTTCCTCTCCAACCTCAGCGCTCTCGTGCTCACCTTCACCCTCCGCCGCCGCCGAGACGACATCTTTGCTGGCGCTCCGCTGTCAACCGTGCCCATGGTCCCTTTCAACGTCGTGGATTGTCCGCCGCCGCCCCAGTTTGCCGCTTGCATCGAGAACATCTTCTCGTCCACAAAGGATGAGGTGCAAGCGTTGTTGGACGAGCGCCACGCCAGGTGGGAGGAGCTGCCAGAACATCGTCGGCGTACCGAGCCCACCTTAGAGCTCCTCGTCCGCCAGATCAGTGCCGGCGCCCCCAACACTAGCAGCAGCTTCCGCCTGCTCAGGCTGTGCGCCACGTTCCCAGCCCTGGCTCGCCTCCACCGCCAAGCGCCCTACTGCGATTGGAGCCTCACCGGCGAGGACTTCCGGGGCGTCTTCACCAAGGGCACCATCAAGGAGGCCCGGGCCAAATCTAAGGCATGGCCCTTCTGGCGCGACATCTGCAACGGCAGCACTAAGATGGAGCAGCTCGGTATACAGATCCGCAAAATGCTGGCCGACCGAGAGCCGGCGCCCGGTGCGAACGACGTCGTGTCCGACAAGAAGATGCTAGTCTACTCTGACTCGCCCTTCGTCGCCCACCTGGCGTTTTTATGGATCACCAACACCTTCGACATCCCCGTCCAGATGGTCGATCGCGGCATGAGCGCGGCCAACCGCGTGGCTGCTATAGAGCCCTTCGTCACCGTCTCTCTCGACCGGCTACGGCGCGAATGCTACCACCCCACGGAGCCCCCCTCTCCCCAAGTCCTAGTCACCACCGTCGGCATCATCGCCGAGGGTCTCAACCTGGCCCGGGCGAATTACCTGGTCCTGCTTGGCCCCCTTGGCACCGTCGCTAAGCAACTACAGGTTGGCTGTCGTATCAACCGTGAGGGTGGGTTTTTCACCCCGCACCTGACCCTGCTTCTCGACCCGGACAATAAGGCCGAGATGGTCGTTCGCCGGCGGCAGCTGAACCGCGCCGCCATCGAGACGGAGGTGTGGGGCCATACGAAGTAACGGCGACCGACTCGCCTACTTTTCTTTTTTTTTTCGGCGCGTGGGCATTGGCACAGGGAGGATATATCTGTATTGTTTGAGTCCGGTTGCTCGGGTTCACTTGCTCGGGATTGGAACTCGCCGTGGTGCGGTCGGGGCGCATCGCCTTTAAGGAGGGATGTGGGAGGCGCCGTCCTCATCTGCTTTTTCTATTCGGTCTCTCTTATTCCAGAGCCGCGCCATAGTGTGTATCCAGGTTCCGAGGGTGCCTGGTGGATGTTTGATTACCGGCGGACATGGCTGACTCGGACGTGGCTATTCGGAGGAGGGGTTCATTGTTGGGTTGACCAGCTCGGGTTTGCCGTGTCAAGGTCAGAGGCCGGCTGCCTTATGATAGTCTTGCTTGTCAGGTCACATAGGGAACTAATCTCACTCAACGTGGTCATTGCATATGTCAGTGCTATATGGTCGCGGGCTTATCGGACACCACGAGCGGCTCATTGCCCACTCACTCTCAGTCGAGTGAGACAGACTTACCGGCACGCGCGGTTCTTGCCCCTCTTCCTCACGCGGACAGGGTGACGGCGGGCGAGCAAGCAGGTGATGCGGCGCAGCCAAGGACAGCTCCCCGTCTAGTTCTAGTGTAGCGCCAAGAGGACCCTTGGTTGCGTATCTTGGAGCCTCCTCAGCACCTCGGTCGTCGTCGTCTTCGTTTTGATGGCCCTAGTCAAGCGGAGCTAGCATCCCTACGTGGCCCGGAATTTCGGAAACGCTCGAGGAGCGTTGGGGTTTCGGTCATATGCCCCTTCCCGATAGTACGGTGGCCGCCTGGCCCGGGTCCCCCCAGTCGTTCTTAGGGTCGAAAGCTAGTACATAGTTAGGGTCATGCCTCGGGGGTGGCAAATTGAATCCACAAGAAACTCATTAGACAGTGGGAAAACCGAAATTTCCGCCATAAGTGTAAAGATTCGTCGGATCGGCCATCGAGATCATCAAACGCGTTGTCGCTTGCGATCACTAAACCTGTAAGAGATAGACAAGATCACGAGGAATGTTGTATTGGTATAGCTCTCCTCTCCATCGCCCCCTTTTGCTAGAGCAACCGGAATATCAAGAAATCCACGCCATGGTTCTTCGCTGTCTACTGATAATCCCAATGTTTACCCTCCGTGGTGTCCTTCCTGCTCTGGGTGTGATTGCAAGTGGATCACCGTCTTCCCGAACCGGCCATCGGGCAATGGCGGGTAAACAGTCTTAGTGATAGTCATCCCAGGTTTGCTCGTGACTGTCACCTCAGGGGGCTGGGGAAGGTGCTCTCCGAGGAATTCGACCTCCTTCCCCGGGTCATGGGTCTTCGACAGAACCTCTGTATGCATATCCTGTAGCGCCTGGCTCTGTTCTTCACCAAGGATGTTAGTTATGATGTCAGAAAGTAATGCTCCCATAAAAGGGGTATGCGCAACATCAATTTCAGGAAGAATTGCAGTTTGACTAATTTGGCGTACCCTTCGACTGTGCAGCCTGCGCGCTAGCCTGTGCGCCTGTGGGCGGGGTCTTTGTGCGCTCCGTCGCCATTTCGAAAACTCCTTTCCTGCCGAGGCGGCTGGTGTGGCGGATTTCGATGATCGATCGGTCGTCGCAAATGCTAGGTTCTGCAAAATCGGTCAGAAAAAATCGAGAAAAAGAACTTCTTGACGAAACAACGTACGAAGGTAGAATGGTAGTAATGGCGCAGCTCGGTATAGGAGAGATGAAAGTTTTGGTAGGAAAACAGAGGGTAGAAGTTCGATGTTTCCTGCACGTGCCAGGATGGACAACTCTGTGGCGTTCGCGGGAGGCGCCCCACTTTTGGCATTTGAGTTCAAAGCCTCTCCTCGTCCCCGGCAACCGCTCTCCACCTGCCTCCCCTGCCTCTCACCCCAGTGCTGCAGCATGAACACAGGATCCTTGCGCCGCAACAACCTGGCGGCCCGCTACCTCCTGTTTCTTCGCTCTGTCTTCGTCTTCCAAGCGCGTTTCTTCGACCGCATTTCTCCGACCGCTCCCGATCCTTCGGCCGACCTTGTCCAACGATTTTCTGCGTCGACCGCGTTGTGTTGCGAACCGGTCAAGCCGGGAAGGTGCTGATTCCTGCGGGGAGTTCTATTTTCTTCTCGCGTTCTTCGTTACAACCGCGTGGCCGTTTTCCGACCCCAGCCAGATTGTGCAATCAGCCCCCTCGGCCCCTTCAAACAGTTATTCGGGACGGAACATAGTAAGAACCAGTCGCTTTAGCATTCCGTTGATGCGTTGATGCCGGGAACTAACCGCCAAATAGTTCCAGTTCGACTCCGGCTAGGTTGGACACCCAACGCCCTAACTCCTGTCAAACCTTTCTTTCTGTTCCTTTTTTTGTTTCCTTCGGTGCGCCGCCAACTCTTTGTGCAACATTCCGAGCGCGCTACGCGCCGACAATTTAACCAACCACCGCCCATACATCTTACGGTCGTTGATTGTCGATGAACGTAGTAAGTAACGATTAATATCCGGTCGGCGGCCGCGAACTGACCCAATCACCTGCGGATCCAGTTCCCTAAAGTCTATCACGCTATGGAGGCGAGCGAGCCTGAGCGATCTCTGGAGGGACGCCAAGCTTTTTCCAGTAGCAGCCGCCTCCCAGGTACGCCCAGCCGATTTCGCCCCACCTACGGTTGAAGCTAACTCCTTTGCCCGTCAGCCATGCCGACCCCATCAGACTCCCACATACCCGAGTAGGACGCGGGAAATGGCAGCTCTAAAAAGCGCGGTGTGTCTGAGCCGGGCTCTGCAGCGCTCTGGGCCTTGACTCCTGCCAAGCGGCAAAAGCAGGTTGACAATTCTAGCGTGCCCGAGGATAGGGTTTGCCTTCGAAACGTTGGTGTTGCGCTGGAGTTGCAATCCGGTACAACGTTCATCGGCATCCTGACGCAGTGGCTGACCCGCGAGAGGTACGACGAGAGGGAAGACGTCGTATCGGAACGCATCGATACGGGCGCCCTTCTCGAGGCGCTCCAGGAAGCGTTTTTGGACGATACGAGAATAAGAGCGCCGAGTCACGCCCGCTCAGCCACCGTATGCCTTGACTCCTTAAGGCTCGAAGTGGAAATCGGCCGCTATAGCGGCAACCAGAGATGGCTAGACGCGAGCACTGCGCCCCTCCTTCGCCGGGCTCTCAACAGCGCCTGCGAAGAGGGGCTGGAGAAAGACCCTCACTATGGGGATCATATCTTGCTGTGCCGCTACGTCACGCAACCAACTGACACTACCCCCAGCATACGGTCCGACACCGAACCGGGGGAGGGGGCGCCATTTAGCCCTGCCAGGTCGGCCGCCCACGACAAGAGAACCGAAGAACGCGAAAGGGACAACGACGTCATTTCGATCTCGTCCAACGCTCACACGGAGCCGGACGATGGGGCGCTATCTGACCCTGGTGGACCGACCACTGCATATGATGAACATGAGGCCAACGACGGCCCCGACGCGCTGGGCTCTATAACGCTTGGCGGGACCGAAGAAGAATGGACGGAGGCCTGCCGCTTCTTCCGTCACGACCCAGCGTGTAGGGAGATGGATAGCGGGAAGAAGCTGTTCGGCACCAAGATGGCGCTACGCCCCGGCCAGCTGCGGGATGTTTGGCACTTCCTGGATGCCACGTACGGCACGGGCCGAACTGGCTATATCAGTGCCCTAGACACGGGGCTCGGCAAGACGATGGTGGCTCTAGGTACCGTCGCCGTCTTGCGAACGGTGGATCTGATGAGACTGGTCTGTCGGGGCGACCCGGACACGTGCGAGGTGGCCGAAGGCTTCGGATACAACGACTGCATCTGCCGATCCGGCTCGCTTATGTCCAAGATCCACCAGGAGCTGATTCCGGGTATCACGGTCTTCCTCACGCCGAACAGCACAGTCCAGGGAGCCCAAAATAGCGCCGACGTGTTTCTGGAGCGGGTTGTCACTCTGCCAGATGAAACCAAGTGGGAGTTCGTCGAAGTCATCCGGTCAGAGGCCAACAAGGAGACAAAAGAGAAGTTGTTCGCTCATGATGTCGTCGACGGCGGTAACAAGATCAAACGTGCCAAGAAATCGTCGGGCGCGGGGAAAGGGATGCCAGCAAAGAAAATGAGCGGTTTTGACAGCATCAACACTGGCCAGCTGAACAAGAATCAGAGCGCGGAAGGGCTTCAAGATTCGGCAGTTTCCTATCTGGACGACCGACAGGAGTACCCCTTCAAGGAGCGGCACTTCCTCCTGATTTTACCCTCTGACGCGTCATCCCTAGACCCCAGGCACGCCATCATGCGTAGCCTCACCAAGACCTACCCCCTCGCCGCACAAGGCTGGCAGAGGAAGGTTGACGTGAGGATTGTAGCTCCATTTTGGGTGCGGCATTGCATCCTGGATGAGTTCCACCGGATCAAGGGAGGAGACACGATCGTGTATACCTGCATGAAAATGTTTAGGCGGCGCCATCCCACCGGGAAGATGGTGAGCATGTTCATGAGTGCGACCCCCTTCACCAAGGAGCTCAAGGCCAGCCTCAAGGTCCCTTTAGACTTCATTCTGCCCGAATCCTGGAGCAGTGCCGGCGACCAGAAGCGCGCCGGCCTGAGCCGAGCCCGGTTCGATACGCTGGTGTTTGACCTACTAAGGTCGCAGCGAGGTGCAGATGATACTAGCGAGGCGGTGTTTGGGGAGTTGAAAGACTTCCTTGCCGGCTTCATGACTCGGCGCACCGTCCAGTCGCGCTTCTTGGGGGGGTTGGAGTGCGCGCTGCCACTTCACAAGAGTCGGGTGATCGACTGTGAGAAACCCCAGGGATCGTCGAAACAAGACGCGTGGTCGAGCATTGTCCGATCGGCAAAGCAAGGGGGAAAGGGTGGTAAGTCTTGCTTGGTTCCGTATCTCGTGGCTATGGTTCGCCGCTGACCGCTCTCCGCCGGACAATGTAGGTGACTTCGATGCGGCAACCATATTCAACCGGCTCACCAAGACCGGGGGATTCCTTTCACAACTCTATGGGGCGACATTTACCCACCCGTCTCAGCTGCAGATGACGGACGTCGACCCCGAAGCATTGGCCGCCATCCAAAAGGGGTGGGACCATTGGATTAAGGCGCAATACGCTAACCACTTGGTTTACTTGACGCCAGAGGGTCGCCGCAAACACGAAGCGGCCACCGCCGGGGCTGTGGACTATCTGTGCAAGGGGACCTCGAAGACAACTGAAATCGAGCGGATACTGGATACGGCCATCAGAGACAAGTCCATGCCGGCACCTGGGTTCAAGTACCCCCCTGGTAACAAATGGCAACGCATCAAGGGACCCGTCAAAAAATCCGTGGTTTTGTTCTGCTCGAGACCTGGGATCGCCGTGCTCTACGCCCTTTACGCGGACAGGCATTGGGCCGGCAGCTGGGATGTGCAACTTTTGACCGCCGCGTGCCGAGACCGCCAAAGCCTGATTGACGAGGCACTGGGGCCGGTCGGGTTCGACGAAGCAAGAAAACCCGCTCTCCTCATCGCGGTGATGTCAGTATGCGGCGAGGGGGTCAACGGCATGCAACGAGCTGCCTACAGCATCTCGGTCGACCTGCCCTTCTCTGAAGCCCTCAAGGCGCAGGTGGCGGGCCGGGTCTACCGCTACGGCCAGATTCACGTCTCGCGGCATTACCAGCTGGTATCCGAACACCCAGCGGAGCGCATCATTCTTGCTCGCCACGAGAAGAGGGATGCCGACTTCCAACAGCTCCTGGAGGGAACGGAGTAGGGGTGTGGAAGACCAAGAACCGACTTGTTGCCTTTTTCGTTCATGCTCGACGGAGGACTGCGAAGCGAGAATTTGTGTGTTGCGCGGCTGAAGTCAAAGGGGAGTTGCGTTTAATGTGCGGGCAACCGGAATGTCAGCTTGTTTGCAGTAGTTATCAATAATCGTTGCTATAGGGCCGTACCTAGTCACGTCAAGAAGCCTGTCAATTTCCTCCTTGGGGAGCATTTACCCCTTAATGTCGATATATAGGAAGTAGATTCCAACAAAGGCAGTGGTTCAAACTACAAAGAGAACGAGAGATAATACCGGTAACTTGTCGCGGCAGATCCATCTTCCTAGCGAGGTCGACGGTGTCCTTGGCCGCCTTAAAAAATCTCCTCTACACTGGCCCCCTAAAAGCCCTGCGGCTCCTGAATACCTAAAAGCACGAGCCGGCGTCGCGCAGTCGAGCCGGATCTTGTCCACGGTCCGGGTGCGGAATGGGCGGTAGACGCTCTTGCGGTGCAAGTTTGAGATGCCGCGGTCGACAATCTGGGCCCCGATGTCGGGGAAGTTCTCAGGAACGTTGCGTGCGCGGCGAACGACATATCACCCAATACGAACATCCTCTTGGGCGGCGCGTACCCGCCGCCTGCCCGTTGGATAGTCAGTTAACTACCGACTGTTCCGCACGCGCAAGGCTTCAAGCAATGGCAGAGTAGGGAAAGCATGGCCGACCTGCGACGATTGCAACGCGGAAAGAAAGCGACCTTACCCTCGGCTGGTCGGGTGGATGGATGGTTGA